CAAGAATTCTCCCGTGATTAGGTCAATCAGCTGACGAGAGGGAGACCTCCACGAGAATACCTACGACAAAATCGAATAAGAATGGAGACAATGGGCACCCTTGACGGACACCACTAGGCGAGTATAGCTACCCAGATGTCGCACCATAGGCTCTAACACGACACAAGTGTTCGAGTAGATAGCCTTCAATAGGTTGATGTGCTGATTCGGCACGCCTTACAGTGAGAGACATTGCCATAAGACTTCTCGACCAACAGAGTCGAACCCCGCCTTGAGAAATACAGCTATTGTCGAGTGTCGGTAGACATGCCTGTGTTACAGAGCCTAACGCAGTGTGAATATTTGGTCAATATACCCGTGGCCGGGTCTAAAGCCTGATTGATTTTCTCGGGCTTGCTATTCCCGAGCTCTACTCAGGCGTCGAAGAATTATGGAACCCAGAATCTTGTTATTTAAGTAAATTATTTTATGACTAACAATAGTCTACTATGGTTAAGAGATAAAATGCATTCTATGTGTACAATCTTACTTGCTCAATGACTTCATTAGGCGGATAAAGAGAAAATGGTTATAAACTTTAAAAATAAACTGATCAATGGTGATGAACGAGGATTTCATTTAGTACACCATCAAATAAGAGCTTGTAGATTCCCTCCTGTTATGTAACAGGCTCATGAATGTCACACAACCCACAGAGTCCACAGTTGATCAAACTGCTTTCATTAGCCGGTTGAATCTTTACTATTTCAGATGACAACATTAACACTGACTTTCTCTACGGTATATAAGTATTTTTCTGGTGGTAAGCTTTACTAACTACTAAAATATGACATACTTCGAGTGATAAAAACCGGTAACTGCAATGTATCACTAGTTTTTTTTAATTTAAACAACTCATTCGTTTACTCACCAAAAAGATTATGAACTGGCAGTGAAAAATGAGCTTCTCTCAATTCCTTTGCACGTCGAATAGATTCTGAAGAAGGATTTGGACGAGTTTGAATGAATCGCTTCATTGCATTGATACATACATTTTTTATTGACTCCTAAGGGATTAAAGATAATATTTACGGAAAATCAAAAATACACGTAAAAACCATTAAACTAACAATACAAAATCAGTTTTTAATTCGGGACAAAGTTTTCACTAACAGTATAGTTAAGTGGATGTGATTTGATTTAATCTGATCGTCTGAACATCATTCTGTATCTCGTCCACATCAGGGAGTTAAAAAATCTGTATATCTATCTAAGCAAACATAATAAGCCACTTTAAAAAGGATAACAACACACGTGCTCATCAGTAGTTAGTGACGAATAAAAAGTTAAAACAAAGGTCGAACTTAAATGCTTTGCTTATACATGAGTTCATTTGATTTCACTCTTGTTTCGATAAAGTTTTATTCTTTATGTCAATTATGCTATGTAGTAGTATATTGTCAATAAGGTAAGACATTTTGATATACAAAAAGAAATATAGGGGTTTTCTGAACAAAAAATTGATAGCTTAAATGTCTATCATTCATTATTCTTCTATATTTCCTGTAGTTGTTGCTCATTGGTTCAGGGAGTTGACCTTCAATCTGTGAGTCACGAGTTCGAGCCCAGCTCCACTTCATAAGGTTTGGGCAACCAGGTAATAGTACCATAAGTGTTCATATAATACGTGTAGCTTATTGCGTACTGCATGAATGTGCACAAGGTTACTGAGTGAGTCTCTTTATTTCTTTTTTTCTTACATTTCCTATGCTGATTCTCTGGTGCCTTTTGTGAGCATGAATAGCTTCAGTGTATCCAAACGAGCTTCGTAGTGGTTTATTTATTCCAAGTTAGTGTCCTTTAACTTATGCCAGTTCTTGTTGAATATCATCATCTCTTATGAATACCACATCATTGCATCTGTATCTTTCTGCTTCATTGTTTTCATTCATAAAAACACCTCAAACGAAGTTGATCTGATTTGAAAACCACGTTAGTAGGTGTATGAATAAATCTGGTTGAAATAGACGACCTGTGTATGAAAAGTATCAGCCAATAAGAAGTTTCATTTCAGTTCCTAATGTACACTGAACTGTATACTAAGCAACCTTGTGTACAATCGTGCAGTAGGCAATGAACCACACCTGTTGTGTGAGGGCTAGTGATACTACCTGGGTGCACAAACCTCGGTAGATGGGGAGGTATTCGAACCGGCGATTAACTGATTATCGACTGCCTAAATTAATTAACCACATCCCATAAAGTTAGTGCACGCCTAATCATTCTTACTTGTTGTCAGATGAAGGATCAATGAGGAAAAAAATCCTAAAAAATAATGCTGATTCCCAGAGGTTAAAATCATACAAATTCTTTTCATTCAGATAACGTTCACGATAAAATTTGATAGCAACACACAGACTACACACTTCTAAGGAAATGTCATTATATGTAGGCCACTGAGATTCTACCACTCAATAGAAAAGATTAAACAGACACGCCAAACAGCTTCCTTCGACACACAATGTTAACCGAAATAGGCTTAAATTGAAAGGGAATGAAGGATGGTGTCAATCCTCGAATTTCTTGTGTATACTAGTTTGAGTCATGTAAAGAAATGCAGGTTAATTGATTGGGATCCTCAAGATGTCAGAAGAATCTTAGTGACATGACTTAAACTCGATTACAGTGTTATAGGAGATGTATTCACTTTCACTATGACCATTTTTACTAGCATTCTCTCGATTGTCCTCTCTCAACAAACACGGTGTAGCAGCACAATGTTGAATCCGTGGTCGGCATAGTTCCTTTACCACTTTAGATTGATCAAGGAGTTGATATCTAAATAACGATATCGATAGTTCATCATAGACACTGTGTGATGACTGGAAGTAAAATGAAAATCTGCATCACGACAGGATTCAAACCAGAGGCCTACTCAACACGCCATGCTGGGGGAAGTTGAGTTGGGTTGGAAATGAGTTTAAAGTGGCCAGACCACGATGTGGTACAAGTCCATGAAGTCTCTTACTGTTGGTCTGAGCCATGTAGTAAAGTGTAGACTACCTCGCTGGGGTTCCTAAGAAGGAAAGAATCAGTGGTCGAGGAATCTTGGTGATAAGGCTGAAAATCAGTCACAATGGAGTAAATGTATTCACTTCTTGACATCTTCTAAAGCTTGAATATTCACAATAACTTTTATCTTCAGATTGTTTATTGTCTCTCATTACTTTGTCTACTTTCATATCACTCCTTTTCTATCCACATTTCCTTTGTGTACTACTGTAAAGTGTGTGAGGTTTTACGTTGATTTTGTCAGTTAGTTGTCGTCTAGGGTTAGTAACGGGGTCGTGTGACTGAGTTGGTAGAGCACTGGGCTGGTTTCAACCGTAACACGTCTATATTCCGTTATTGAAAATGAAAATTAATTTGAATCATATGCATTAAAACTACACTGTGTTAATTGTTTTCGCTATATTTTGATCAAAAAGTTACTAACGGAAATTAGGAAATGTTTAGCTTTGTAACTGTACTTGTCCTAATTGATAAAGCATTTTACAGTTGTTCAGCTTTTATGACACTTTTTTTGTCATTTCTCTATCTCATCGGATAGTCAATCAGTGGTCTATATATATCTGACACTCTTCGGCAAAATATGCTGACGTAGGTAGTCATGGGAAAAAAATGGCTATTCTCTTGTGGAAGCTTGTCTCTTGAAGTTTTCTCAGCGTCGAACAATGCGGAGCGTATAGTACTCGAGAGACTGCACTAATTTCTTTCATTCATTCGAACTCCTTATTTCATAGTGATATGAGTAAGTTTTAGTATAATTCCAGTGTATTTAGAAATTCAAAACAAGTTTTTCAAGTTGGTTTCATCATAGATTGACATCAATTGGAGGAACAATGGAAACCTGGGACTACTAGACAGCTGTTTCGCCCTAGTATGGGGCTCTTCAGCAGCGCGCACACACGACCCCGCCACAGATTGAACCCGTGACCTTCAGGTCTGTGACCAGCATGTTACCATTGAGCCACTGGTCAGAATCCAGTGGTCCAAATTCTAATTTCTGTCGATTCACGACACAGCGCCACCGTCACCCAATGTCATTGTTGAGTATTTGTCCTCACGACCATCAAGTTTGCCCCACTGGTCACGACTTCTCACTGGAACTTCGGGAATCACCTCTCGAAAGTAGTCACCAATGAGCACCAATTTCAATTGAATCTTGAGGAGTTTGTGGGGATTTACAGATATTTCAAGTTGGTACTCATCGTAGACTGACATTAGTTTTTCTAAACGTTTCGTTGTGTATACCACAGCTTCTTCAGCAGGGTATTCAGATTTTTATTGCACATCAAAATATATACAATCAAAAGTCTAGAAAATCTTTTTTTTTCTAAACACGCTGCGATTATAATAAATCCTACCTATGTAGTGATTAAATCAGACTTGGCGCTCAACTTATTCCAAAACACTCATAACAACTATGACTTGGATGTTTATAACTTTATTTCATCATCTAAACTTTTCTTCTACTGACATTATCCATCTCAAATAGTAGAAGCAAACAAATCATGAAGTAAAGAAATCCCCTGATGAATGATCTGCACACTTATAGAGCTTTATTATTCGTGAATCAGTATTGATAGAACAAATGGGGACTAGGACGTCAAAACTAGTCAGCATTGGAAAACATGTGCAATATCTGTCACTGGATTCGCTGTGAATGCACTTAACTTTCAGAAGTCCAGTTTTATATTCTGTTTGATAAGAGCTATGTGTGAAATAGTCAAATAAAATGAAACCAATGAGTAATAAGCTTTTTTAGCCCATCAGCAGTTCAGGGTCGAATGAAAGCATCTCCATAAATGCATTCCATAGAACAGTAGTAAGATGTTATTGATGAATATCAAATGCCTATGAAAGACTATGATATAGAAATAATGATATCTGAATTGATACATTACAACTAGAAGAACTAGCTAACCAAGGAGTATACACAATTGTTTCCTAGCGCATACCAGAGATGAATTTTCAGAGCAAACATTCTGAAGGCGAGTAGCTAGGTTGCTAATCACGCTTCTTGGTGTGCGACCAACACAATCGCTTTCCCATTCAGTATGATTGTTTGATGGTTGACATGTTTGCCATTCTTTGCCCAGAAACATAAATACGTCCAACAGATATGGTAATTCTTCTGGATCAACTAAAGAATATGCACTGCCACTTCGGCCAGCTCGAGCAACACGACCTGATAAAAAAATGAAAGAAACGATTTAGTCTAAGTCCTGAGGGAGGTTACCGTAAAAACGCAAATAATGAATGTTTTAATCAAGAATATTTGTCATGCGTGCATCTCCCCCAATTTTGAAATGCATGTGCTGTTGCATCCTTGGAAACTGCCTACTTCTGGTTTGATTACATAAAGTTGAATGGTTGAGCATTAAGACTACTGCAGATATCCATGTGAACAGAATACTCATAAAAAACCTTGGTGTAAGAAAAGAAAAGTTCAATTTATTCCATAAGATATCAGCTTCCTTGTAAATAGTCCAGTAAACAACACAATCTTACAGTAGAGCTGTCCCTTATTGGTTAAGAGAGATGATTTTCAACCAGAGGGTCACAGGTTTTTATCCCGTGTCACTTACCGAGATGCGAGCAGCCAGGTAGTATCATTAGCCTTCATAGAAAAAGTGTGGTTCATTGCTTACCGCAAGAATGTGCACAAGATTACTGAGTACATCACAATTCGACTGGATTTTTTAAGAACCTTAATTGTTGAAAAAAGAAGCTACGTTTGAGTGGTTGAAGACTGAAAGTACTAAATGCTCCACATTTCTGTTTAATTCCTCGAATTCCAGCAAACTTTTAACTTTGCTCTCAACTTCAACTTATTTCCTTTTTAAACAGGTCTGAAGTATGAGTACTGGTCGAAACACAGGATACACTCTTAATTCTATACAATATCAGAAACCATAGAGAGCAACGCAGAGTGTCACCAAAAAACTTTTTGTCGCAAGTTGTTGAAAATTTTACAGCACTTAAGAAAGTGAAAAGTGACTGGATTAGATTAAGGGCTCATACAGACAGTAAGTCAAAAATCACAAATTTTGCCTCGAATAATACGCAGACAGAGTACAACTGACTTCTTTCTGTGTCTCTGATTAACACAATAAAGACAGCACTTACAGAATCAGATGGACTCACCTTACTATCTTGACGTTTTATGATCTACGTATCACTTGAACAAGTTTTCAGATAATCTACGTCTTCTAATTTACACTATCCAAATTCATAAAAGGGACTAACTGTTTCAAATTAAGTAATTAATAATCGTCGTTCAAGTAGGCATAATTTACGTGAACAGTCTGAAAATGTCACTTCATTTGTAAGAAATCGAAAAAACTTTCGAGAGAGAGGTTAAAACAACTATATTAAATTAGGTACATTTTATAAGGCAAGGGAAGAATTTTATGTACTTAGAAGACTGAGACAAGATTAAACGGCTGATCTCCATTACACAGGACCAACTTTGTTGTTCTTGCTACAATAAGTAGAAATATTTACGTGATCACCTAAAAATAACATTTAAAGTAAGGCTGAAATACAAGAAGATAAAAAATAATAGCGATAGGAAATTTAGTAGTAGTTAATGTGAAGGAAAAAATAATGGTCTGGGATGAAATATCACTAGTCGCCAAGATAGCAAGAGGTGAGTAACCATCTCCTTTTGAAGATATAAAAAGGATTTAAATAGTTAGACGGTGACGATTTCAACAATCGGAACTGGAATATCTTCCTACGTCATGCCTAGTGACGAGCTCTCATTATAAAATAAGGCTAAATCTCTGAAAAGCAAACTTTTAAATATTTGTTCAACAATTCTAGAAAACAATCATCATCTCTCCATTTCTCCTATGTATTTGGAGTTAACCATCAATGCAGTAAAACAATTATTGTGTAAGACTCAGATATTGCAATCTTGATCGGTTAGTTGGTCAAATATGCAGCTTTGGATCAAGTTTAAATGCTTAAACAAGTATACATAGTAAGAATAGAGCGATAACTTTCTACTAGGATTGTTGAAAACGTGTTCAGAAGTCTACGACTCAGAGGTCTAGTCATATCTAGCAGGATGGTAGCGTTTGAACCAACGGTTAGCACTTTCATAGACTGTTAAAATATGCTCCTTCAATCACCGCTTGACTAACCCCATATCACAATCCGTTATCAATAGACACTTAAGCGACTGGTCGCTCTGTATGTGCTGTAAGTTTTCCTTATTAATGCACTCAACTATCTCAGTCCCCAAGTTTCTACGGAGACGAGTTTTGTAGACTTGAGTTTGTTCCGCGTTGAACTTTTTCAATTTTCAAACTTCGCCGGAGTTGTTGAGGCAACACTGCGGTTTGTCATTATGAAGGTTGATAGTAAAACTACCCCGAAAGTCATAAGAGTTAGTCGTTTTACTTATTCGTAGTGTTGTCAAAGAAAAAAGCAGACTCCATAAAATTACCTGATTTATTTACATTATTAAAGTAAATCGTATATACATGAAAATTATAACACTTACCAACTCTATGCAAAAATAGCTTAGGTTGGGCAGGGAAATGGAAGTTGATAACATTGTCCAAAAGAGGAATATCTACACCTCTAGCAGCTACATCGGTAACAAGAAGTACACGAACTTGTCCGCAACGGAATTTTTTTAATGAGAGATTTCTTGCGTGTGGATCAAGTCCTGAATGAATAGACGTACACTTGAAGCCAAGATCAGTTAACAGCTGTACGGAAACGCGAAATAAATTATAATCTTGAAGGAGTCTCCGAAAAATTGATGCATGACCACGAATAAATTACAGATTACTAAATAATTCCATATTCACTGAGATAAAAAATTAATTGCCGAGACACTAATAAGAAATAGAGAATTCTTAACAATACTATGTGCCAGAACAGTGTGTACGCCCTGCTCCATAACTACAAGTGACTCAGTGGTTTCATGCGATAACTATTAATTAGTTGGACACGGGTTCGAACTCCGCCCCACCTACCAAGGTTTGGGTATCCAGGTAGTATCACTAGCCCTCACACAATAAGCGTGGCTCGTCGCCTTCTGCATGGATGTGCACAAGGAGGATGATAGCGTTTTGTCCGTTCGTTTGTAATAACTAAAAGTGTGACATTACGCATCCAAAGAGTTAAAAACCTACATTAATGCGTATACAATTTATTTACTGGTCAATCGCAGAATACTTTTAGTGTCAAACACACAAACGTGGTCTAAACCAATCAACAAAAGATATTTTGGTTCTGTATGGAGTTTTAAACAGCGAATTACGTGTGCATCAGTTTGTACGCCGGTCTTTTTCTTCGTTATATGTACAGATAAACATAAATAGTCTCTACCCTACAAAGGATGTAACAATAATAATAATTTGTTATGTGAAGGACCTACTATCGACTGATTAAGGGAGTTGACTGATAACTAATGAAGAACGGTTTTGAACCCCGCACCCCCTCCATTTACTTAGTTTTGGGTATTCAGAGTACATATACCAGCTCCGTTACTAGTAATTTACAGAAATACACGTCAACTATTATTTTCACTATGGTACCCAAACACTCCAAGGAACAAAATGGGTGACAAGATATCAGTCTCAGTTTGTATTCATGGACATGTCTTCCCCTATATAGTTAAACCTAGATAACGTTACTTAACAGTCACGTCTGCTGTCAACACATCTAGAATGAAAAATGGCTGCAACTACTTCAAAGCATAAAATCGAGTTCGACTGCAGCTCAGCGTTTGACATACAGTGAAACAACTATTAACTGTAGCTTAGCAATGTAAACTATCTCCCAGATAGAAAACTGTTAGAATGGAAAAGTCCTACGAAGAAACCATTCAGAACTCTTAATCTTAACATAGGCTCTGTACTAAACTTCCGATAACGTAAAAGTTTATAGCGGTCTCAAATATCATGAGCTTTTTCAAGCAGTCAGCGATCCAATACTGTCCTTGGGTGAAAGCGAGAATGTCGGCAAAAAAAATGAAAAATTACCCACTACGAATGAGATGTTCATTCACACACTTTTGTGATCAGTAAACTATTATCTTGTCCACTGTCTCTTCGTTTCTTTACTTGTGGTTAGTAATAATTTGGCAGCAGTATAACAACACAAAGAAAATATATCGTGTAGGAAACTGCATCTAACGAACTGTCACACAGAAAACGAAGGTAGAGATAACCTTTTTAGTTTACAAATGTAAATTTTAACACCCCTAACTGAATCCAGTATACATCTGTCGGATGCTTAACAAGTACGTGGAACACTGAGTTCTCTTTAATCAGTTTTTCAATAACAGTATACTGAAAGCAGATAAAACAGTAAATATATTACTTCAAGATCCAACGCTATTTCACATGTATGATGTACCCAGTGTATTCTGGAACACAACCAGGCTAGGCATCAGATAGACCAAGGAATACGCTTATGTTTTGCAGATGTGATGATTACAAAATTATCTAGAATGTAACACAAAGTGTTACAAAGGATTAGGTAACACACTACAAACGTTGGAAGATCAAAACTGTCAGTAGATGAGTTAATAAGCAAGTCCAGCAGTATTCTCAAGTAATTCCGACACAACAACCAAACTTAAGTAGAAGGAAATCATACGAAAGTTCAAGCACTTACCAACTGAAAGAATTCAACATGATGTTTCGTGGCAAAAAATACAACAGCCTGAGCATCACTGGATATCACTTTACCCAACAGATGTACTAGAATGGCATTCTTCTCTTCCGGCAAGCAGGCGATATGAGCTAACTGAGTGTAATTAAGAGAGAGAAAAAGCAATAACTAACGGCATATCAGGCTAAAAATTGTTCACGAGACTGTAAGGAAATCAATTCAATATGACTGTGAAATGATCGTCACATCATACTATCAGTAGTCACCTTTGAAACCTGTTCTATGAGTGATAGAGACAAACTTGCAGATAACTACGATTTTAAAAATCATGATAAGTTGTCCATTCGGCACGCGGAAACCAGACTAGAGACGGATGAAAAGATGGTTAACATACCCAATAACTTTACTTTCTTAACTAAAATTAGGGGGTGAGTACAAACATCAGCTTACAAAATGCATATTCCCATTCTTAAGTCCTACGAGCAGATGCAAGTCTTTAGTCTCTATGCCTATAGGGAATATCTTACTTGAGTACTGCAAACCGATCACAGGAACTACAGGAAAGACATCATGAGGTCAGAACGTGAAGGTATGTAGAACCGTCCTCAGGAGACAGCACACTAAAAAGTAGGATGAGACGATGACTGAATTTAAAAGGTGCATATTAGCCGTTCTACTTTCACTAAGTACAATAAATTTGTAAACATTTATATGCCTACGACATGTTGCACAAAAAATTCGGTAGCATCCTTTCGGCACTGTCTATTATCAGTTCTCTTGTTTTGTCGAAATATTCTCTCGCCGGTCGACTAAGCGTTCACTTCCATTCGCCAATGTTTCAAATTTTCTGCATATTTTTTTCAGCAAATTGTATGGTGATCCAGGTAGTGATACTACTGGTCGTAGTAGTGTATCAGTTGCATGTATTTTGGGTCAAGAATAAAAACTCGGTAAAAGCCGGTTTATTTGTCTTCATTAGGATTGTTCTTCTGTCATGATTTGACCAGCCATTATTTAATTACTGAGTTTTCAGATCCATTTGTCAAATTCTTCGATTGGATCCTCCTGCAGCAGTTATTGCGTCTTTTTGACAGTCACCTTCAGCTTCCTCAGGTTCAGCATAAAATGTTAATCTATAGAAGAGAGGACAATGCAGTTGCATCAGATCATTAAGTACATTACCGGGCCCTACATCAAGGATGCTTCAAAGATTGCCGACTAATTGTTACATCCCTTTGAAATCGTAGTGTACTGTGCTACAGTCCGCTCAGCTGTCCTGTCATACAACTGTGAGACATGGTCGTTGAAAGTAGATATGACTAGACTACAAGTTTTTGACAATAAGTGTCTTAGTAACATTCCTCGCCTACAGTGGAGTCACTATGAGATCAGCGTCGAGGTCAGGCGAAGCGTACCAAGCAAGAAAACCAGTCAGTCCATTTGGATGCGGACTTTTAGCGACTGAGGTGGCATGGATATATGTTGCGCACCCTAGTGCTAAGGGGAGTTGAAATAAGGTCGGAAGAAGGCTCAGAGTGGTCAGACCAAGATGTGGCACCGGTGCATCATCCATCCATCCAAATCAACATAAGACTAGGTATTACTGTGTAACGGTCCAACTTGCCACACCTCACATCAATACATAAAATAGAAAGACAGTGAAGTAGGTGAGGAAAAGAAAATCCAGTCAAAAGAAATATAAAGTACGAAAACAGAGAGAAGAAGAATGAGAAAATGGTGAGATTCGCTACAGCGTTATTAAGATGAGGATAATGTATGTGGGGATACATCTGCGCCACTCACATCGGTTCTGAGCCATATCGCCATATCTTGTCCCATGGACCTCAACCGGCTAGTTTGTATCTCCCCACATGGCTTAAACCAACAGTCAAAGACTTCATACATTTATGCCGTTTTTTAGTCTGGTACCGGTGCATGAAGTATCTGGTCGTTGGTTTCACCTGTTCAACGAGGTTACGGCCCTCGAGACGAGAGGAATCAGTGATTGAAGACTCTTGGTGACATGGCTGAAAATCAGGTCACGATGGCGCAGATGCATTCCCTCTTTGATGTCTTCTAAAACTTGACTGTTTTGAATAACCCTCATTTTTAAATTCCTTCTCCGCTCATGCATTTTTGACTGCTTTCGTATGTCTTTTTCTCACTGAATGCTACTGTGAATTGTCGCAACTAAAAGTGGTTCATTTGTGTGAGAGGTTTTGCGTTGATTTAGTCTCTCTTTCCATGGCTCAAATACCAACTAAAGCAGTGTAGAATGTTTTGTGCAAGTCAACAGATTCATTACCAAAGACAAAAACAATAATTTAAAAAACCATATGCAAAGATTTTCCTATAACACTACGCTGGCCAGTCCAGCCGTTGTAGTGCTCAAAGAATTCGTGAACACCAACTAGCAGTTAAGTGGTACAAAGCATTTTCCTTGGTTTCGATGTACATAGATAATCACGAACACAGCTTAAACCAGGAGAACGTGAGAATCTTAAGAAGCGATAGTTCAAAAGCTCTAAGAGAAGTACGACATTAGAAAGAAAATCCACAATCTACTTAAGAAGGAAATAATAATCCACCAACCAGGCCAGAGTTGATCAAAAACATCGATAATTAAATACACTGTCAATAACAAACAGCACGATTTCACCCCAAGATTCTCTTTTAGTGTGATCCACTGAAATTTAAGACGAAGGAGGCTAAGGTATGACAAAAATGTCCTTCCCAACTAAAAATTGGATAACACTCACGGTCAGCATAAGCACTGCCTAACTATTTGTGTAACCTTTTGGACATGCCTCTCTTGCACGTGAAGCAAGTGCTGGTGGTATCACCAAGTGTAATGAAGGAACATCCACGTCGAAATGTCCTAGCTCAGAGAATATCAAACCAACGTCCTTCTTATCATGAGCTACAAACATTTTGCATCATTATAAAGACCTACTTTTGCTAAAATTCGCATGAGTTATATCTCGAGAATTCTATACCTTAATCTGAAACAGCATTTATGAAACCCGTAAAATCCACTACTAATCAACTTAGACTTATGCAGAGTTACTATGGAACTTAAACTGTAGGAAACGATAGTCAAAAAAACAGATAAACTTCTAGATGTGAACATTCACTTGTAGACCCCAAAATGCAACAGAATAAGAAAACATCAGTCTACAAGTTCAAACTTTGAGAATAACTAAAGACGTAACACAGTGAACTGCAGGATGTTGAGTGTTAAATTGGGCACCAAAATGATTCAAGTGTATGAGTATATCTAATTGAAAAGTTGTTCGTAAAATTAAATATGCGCTTTGGATGGCAATCCTGGTCACTAAGAGACGCGAGCAAGATATAATAATAAGCAATGTCGCAGCATTCATATGGTGAACCCATCTATCAGCAAAGGCTGGTCAGTTCGAACCAGTAAATCATAAGTAGGTAGGTCCCAGCTTCAACATTTATAAATTATGCATAATTAAAATCATCTCCTAATAAAAAACAATCATAGAGAGTAGCTTCAACTGTATTAGTAAGATGAAAATGCCATGATAAACTACTATGACTGTCTAGAAACTCTTCGGACCCCGTTCTTACCACTCACTTTCTCACAGGACAGATGCAGTTCAGCCTAATACGCAACTGTTTATATAAATGCCAAGCAGCATAATGTGTAGACTCGCTATCTTGCTGTTTTAGTGCATAATACGATTGTCATGATCTCTATAAAAAGCCCCAAATCTCTGACGCTTGTTACAACCAATCGTTCTGCCCAGAAATTTCGGTAGAAAGCACGAGGACTAACGTGTAACTATCAGATTGGTTGAAGGGACGAAAATCAATAAGACATTCAGATCCAGAAAGGCGTAAAAATAGTCAAGGTCACTGTAAATAGATATAAACCCTTGTATTTTGTAAATATTTTTGACGTTGCAATACATCTTCGTTATATTACCACTTTATCGAGAAAAATGAGCAGTCATCAAGGAGCGGAATCTAAAGGTTACTGTTCAAGCGTCTACAAATATATATAACTTCGGTAATATCAAGAACCTCGCCTGGTTAACTAGTTCACTAGTTACTAGCCGATCCTAAGCCCGGGTATACAGGGAAGGTTGGGCGTAAGGCTAGCAACCCCACCCCGGAAAACAAATCTAACCGCTAAACAAACTTCAAAGCACAAACGACATATAAAACATAATAACAAAATTATTCCTCGCTGGAATCGGAGAGGCGAAATGACGCCAAATGGTGAAAGTCTTCAGGAAACCAACTGACCGATGTGTCTTCTCTCGATGAAAGCGAAAGTAAACGTGGGGACATGGAATGTCCGCACCATGCTTGAACCCAGCAAGGCAGCCCAGATTGCAAACGAGATGAGGTGTCACATTGAAGTGCTTGGAATTTGCGAAAGCAGATGGAATGGAAGTCGACTCTCCCAGCTGTCGACTGGAGAATCAACAATCTACTCTGATATTGACACCCAGACGACAACCACGAGCACACTGAGTTTTGGAGTGGCTATCATGATGTCCCCAACAGCATCGAAGGCTCTCATGCAGTGGGAACCAATCCCCTCCACAATCAGGATCATGACAGCAAGGTCCAACTCGAAAGGAAGGAAGGTCACAATCATACAGTGCTACGCACCTACCAATAATGCAGAGCAAGAGAAAAAGGAGGAATTCCACAGACAACTGTAATTAACACTAGACAGGACTCCAGTTGGCGACATCAAAATTCTAATGGGTGACATCAATGCCAAACTCGGAGCAGACAACACACGAAGAAAGCTCATCATGGGTCGAGAAGCACTCGGTGAAATGAACCAGAATGGAAAATTGTTTGCAGAATTCTGCCCAGTCAACGATTTGGTGATTGGAAACACTGTGTTCAAGCACAAGGATACCCACAAAGCGACATGGATTTCACCAGACACCAGGACACACTAAAAATCAGATCGACTCCATCTCAATGTGAAAAAAGTGGAGACGCAATCTACTTCACACAAGGTCAAGAAGAGGAGCAGATGTAGGTTCACACCACTATCTAGTGCGAGGAACCTTCCAAATCAAGTTAAAAGCCTTCAAAGAAGCTGGTGATAGACCGCAGTTCAAGTACAACACTCGGAAACTGAAGGTCAAAACTACAAAGGAAATCTTCACGTCAGCCATAAAGACAAAATGGGAGATATCGATGAACATCCCTGAAGAAACCTGTGTGGAAGAACACTGGAAGTCTTTGAAAGAGATGTGGAAAGAAACCTGCATAGCCGTATCAGGAAGGAAGAAAGAAGATGAGGAATGGACCTCGACGAACACATGGAAGCTGATAGAGGAGAGGAGGATGGTGAAGCAGAAGATGAACCAGTGCAAGGATGAACGACGAGAAGAGGAACTGAGTACAACGTATAAAACACTACACTGAACAAAGAAGTGAAGGAAAGTGCACACAAAGACAAAAGACATTTCTACAACACACTGCCAAGTGAAGCACAACAGGTTGTAGGTAAGTGAGAAAGAGACCTGACAACACTATATCAAATAACCAGGTTACTATCTGGAAAGGAAGAGATCAACACTGGTGAAACCAATAAAAGATGATGAAGGAAATATAATTACCGAAGAAGAGAAACAAAGGAAACAATGGGCTGACCACTTCAAAAAAACTTGAATCGACCACCACCTGCAACTCGTCCAGAAATACCAACAGCAACGGCAGAACTACAAGTGAACACAGGCCCTCCAACAAAAGCAGAGGTGAAGTCTTGAGCGCCATAAAAATGCTGAGATCCGGGAGAGAAACAGGACCAGATGGAATTCCACCAGAAGCACTGAAAACAGACGCAGAGACAACAGCCGACATGCTCACACTACTACTGCAGAAGGTTTACAAGGAAGGAAGGAAGAAAAGGTACCTGCTGATCAATTGGAGGAAGGACTACCATGTCAAACTCCCGAAGAAGGGAGACCTCAGTGTTTGCAAGAACTGGCGCGGAATCACGCTCCTGACCACACCAAGCAAAATACTAAGCCGCATCATCCTGGAGAGACTAAGCGATGCACTGGATTCAAAACTACGACCGGAACAGACTGGATTCAGGAAGTACAAATCATGTGCAGACCAAATTGCAACACTACACTTCGCATCACCATAGAACAGAGTATAGAATGGCAGTCAACTCTCCACCTTATCACAACTTCATCGATTTTGTAAAGGCCTTCGACAGCGTCGACTGAGGAGTAATTTGGCAGGCAGCTGCTTCAACACTACGGAATACCACAAACCTTTATCAATCTCATTCAACAACTATATGAAGACGCCACATGCCAGCCAAGTAATTCACAATGGGAAGCTCAGTGATGCTTTTCAAGTGAAGACAGGAGTGAAACAAGGCTGTCTACTATCACCCATGATCTTCCTGATTGTGGTCGACTGGATCATACAACAAACAGTGAGGAGCGAGAAGAGGGGGATACGCTGGACCGCGGAAAAGAACCTAGAAGACTTGGATTTCGCCGATGACTTGTGTCTGGTGTCGCACAAACTTGAAGATCTACAGGCGAAAACTAATAAGTTGACAGAAAAGGCAGCGAAGACGGGACTTCAAGTGAATATAGAGAAGATAGAGGTGATGAAGATACCCAACCACCACTAACAACAACAAACTCTAATCACCAACAACGGGAGAAACTTAAAGCAAGTTGTCCCTCTCACCTACCTAGGCTGGGCAGCACTGTTTCAACTACATGCGGCACAGACGAGGATGTTAAAACCAGGATCGGAAAGTCAACAAGACAACATTTCACTAATCTGAAATCAGTGTGGAGATCTCTTCCACTCAGCACAAAGAACAAGATCCAGATTTTCAACACCAATTCAGTCAAGTCAGTGCTTCTATATGGTTCAGAAACTTGGGTGTCACTAAAAGCGTTTCCAACAAACTACAGACATTCATCAACAGCTGCCTACGCCCACTCCATACTGAAGATCAGATCAGATGGCCAGAAAGAATAAGCAACAAGGAACTCTGGGAATGAACCAACCAACAACCTATTACCCAACAAATACGAAGAAGAAAGTCAAGACGGATTGGATTGGGTATACACTGAGAAAACCATTCGGGGACATCACGCGTCAGGCCAAGCCGTCGAGTGGAATCCAGAGTGGAAACAACGAGTTGGGCGTCCCAGCTGAGGGCGACATGGAGGAGATCGTGTGAGGAAGAAATGAAAGCTTATGGGCAGTTGTGGCGCCAGGTTGAGAAGACTGCAGAGAACAGAGTGCAATGGAGACGTGTTACCGAAGCTCTATGTTCCACTAGGAACTCAAGGGAAAAATAATAATAATAATTAGTTTCTATTGTTCTGGCAAGTTGAATATCAAGCTAAACAGGTCACCATACTAAAACTGTACTCAAAATGGAATTAAATATTTTGTACCTTTAAATTCTGGCTTAGCTTAGAGTTTAAATCCAACCGAATAAGCACTGGATCCACCAGTCCAGCACGTGCAAATTCAACCAGATTTTTGGGCAAGGTTGCTGAAAATATCAAAGTCTGCCGACTACGTGGTAAACGCTTTAGGGTTTCCGAAAGTTGTTCGGCGAATCCCAGCTCAAATAGCCTGAAAAACGAATTGAATCAAGAAAATACATCATTTTATTCGTCAAATTTTGTTTTCTATCTTGTTCAAATCTACAAAATATAAAAAGCTTTAGGAAAAGTGCACTTCTATGAAATGTGTTAGGATGCTGAACCGATTCCCACTGCAAAATAGTGACATCCGATCAAGGTCAAATTCTATAACTTATGTTTACAAACAAGTTGCTTCCACATTGCTAATTCAACTAGTCTGACTAACTTAGGTTTGTTTTTTTGAGAATTAGTATCGATCTACCGAGCACCAGACAGCTGTTTCTTCACCAGTGTACACTCAAGACCTGCCGGTGAACAGAACCTAGGACCGACAAATATCGTGACTAGTCACTGGATTGGAAACTAAAAGTTTATTTTCTCTGACTTCTAAGGAAACGGAGTAAGATGATTAAGGTAAAAGGAACAGCTGTTCAGTGCTTCCAGTTCTTTAATAGTCTTACAACTGATGTACCCGACCGATTGCTGCTACCATGACGTGGTAATCGGCTTGGATATCACGATGACCCAATGAGATATGCAGGTCGAACGTTTATTCCTTCGAGATCCTATCATAACAGGAAAGTCAGTTAGTGATAAAACAAAGCAGTTACCGTTATAGTGTAAATTGCTACGGTATGATGGAGGTCCGAGGATGAAGTCATACAGCCAGTTGGATGATGGTGTAAAAGCACTAAAGTGCTTCACGTGGATGACCAGCAGTACCACGTTGATGTTGCCCTCCCATTGGGAAGGAGAGTTAGGAAACGTCTGGTAAAAATAGCCCACTCTTTCCTCCTCTAAAGTATACCAATGTCGACGGTAAGAGTTTACAAATATGGATTCGAAAAGACAAGCCAAAATTCCAAATTTCTAAAACGTCAGTGTAAGATCGGTCTTGAACAGATGTCCTTTGGGCTCTGTAGTCATGCATTAACCCTACTGTTTTACGTAACACAAAGAGTAATAGTATTCCACAGAATGGGCAGTCGGAAAGTGTCAACAATCCCCACAACTCTGTCAGTACTTAATTCCCTCAGACCATTATCGACCTTTCGCACCCTTACTTATAACTCTTCCTCACATCCCAGTACTCTTACCTCATCTTCATGTTTTTTCAGTTATGCCGTTCTTGATAACGATCAGAGTTCATGGGACAGCATCTCAGGTTTATTCTAGTCTGTTTATTAAAAATGTCCATATGAATATAGACAGTAAACTGTGTCCGAAACATCCAGTAAATGATACCGTTTCACAGTGTGACGTTTCTAATAAACAGACTAAAATGGAATTACAATCTACCACAGTGCCCAAGTTTTACTCCTATATTAATAAGTATCTCTGGTCGCCTGAAACTGCGCTTCAAACTATACATCATATTTCAATGTCCACGCTCTCTGTCAAACCAGCCGACAAGCTTCGCTAGTCAAAACCCTCACAAGACACACAAACAGGACCCAAGTGTGGCGATACAATAACTTCATCTGGACATTGTGGTGAATCCGCAAAACACCCTTCAAATTTCCGGGGATTCAACGGCTAGTCCTCTTGGTCTGGCATCTGTAGATGTAGCATTATTTGCTAAAGCAAAAAGTATTCTACTCGACTAGATCCTATTTAACAGTTGCTTGTGTGCTGTTTGACTGAACGATACAATAAGGACTAAAAAGATAGTGAAACTCACTGTTGTCTCTTTGTAGTCTCTGCTTACGCACCGACCGGCTGTAGCTCGGATGAGGTGAAAAACCTAAATTTTAGATGTGATTGTCGTAGCAGGTGATTTCAGTGAACGAGTAGGCCTAGTCAGGCAGAAAGGTACTTAGATGACACTTTCGGAATCCCAAACGAATAAACAGATAACTGGGATCGCCTACTAAAACTGTGCTCAGAAAATCATTTACGGCCAGCCCGAAATTCAGACATAGAGACATTGTCTGACGTGGCATCCACCGACTTTAACGCAGTGGTGGATACAGATAGACCACACTGCTATCAGTCATCGCTGGAGAGGGTCAAAGAAAGACTGCTGCTTCACTTGCAGCACGTGTTTGGATAGCGATCACGTGCTGGTTGGAGAACGCATCTGCCTGTGCCTAAATGGACGTGGAAAAACTACAGCAAAAAGACCATTGCGTGCAGCTCGACAATGACAGCACTAAAGCTGCTTTCAATGAGAAACCCACTAGACAGTTATCGGGACTGAACAATATCAATCCCCGGGAAGAAGCTTGATACCCTCTTCAATCCACTGTAAAAGAGTAATGAAGACCTTAGCTGACTCTCAGAGTGGATATCAGCAGCTTCTGAACTAATGGATGCACGCGAACCCATCCTTGTAGGCTTCGAGTACAGTGAGGAGCGAATGCAACTCATAGATAGACTTAAGATATTGTAAAGGCAGCAGCGATAGCTAATAGTAGACAGATATTTAAAATTATCACGGATACTGGGGCAAAAGTGTTGACGGTTAGTGAGACTAGTGGAGGATGGATCTGTGATTCACTTGCAGGAAACGACTAGAAAGAATGGTGGAACACTTAGTTGAATAGCCCAACTAGTCTTCAGCTACTATTCTGTTACCGCTATCAAATCGGATCCTGAAGCGAACATTGAGATAGGAACTTCAACATTTTTAGAAAAGGAGAAAGCTAAAAGCAGTCTAAAACGAGGAGGAGGAGCTGGGTTTGACGGACCAGAACCAAAGGTATTTAAGACACTGGTCGAGGATTTTCGGTCAGATTAACTGAAGTTTTAGCTAGTGCATGGATGTCAGATCTAATAACATTTGACTGGCCTTAATCACTGATTATCCCAGTCTTCAGGAAAGAATGGAAATTTTCTTGTGACAACTATAAAGGAATTAGTCTGACCAACACAATATCTAAGATTCTACGTTTTATAACTAAGAAGTGTAAACTGAGCTCGAGAAGACAAGTTTCAGAGCAGGTTGTGGGTGTATCTACCACATATTCACCCCCTACCAGGTTATGCAACACAAGCAAACTTACCAGCACCTAACACAAGCTATTTTTAGACTTGAAGACGGCATTCGATTCTGTCGACCGGGAGGTCTCATGACAGCGTCTCTCACCGGAAGGCGTGCCAGGCAAGTGCATCATTCTGGTGGAGGAGATGCATTTGAACGCCTGTTGGCGATAGAACCTACGATGACTTATCAGTTGAATTGTGTGCGTAGAGCGGTGTCCATCAAGGTTATCCACTCTCTTTATGCGCGTTAAATTTTGTCAGACGTGCTCATGTAGGTTTCTGTCTCGTCCTGTGTTCAGTGAGAACGGTTTCGTAACAGGAGGCTGCTTGGTGGACCTGAAGTATGCAGGTGATATAGGCATGTTAGGTGAGTACATCAACGAGATGAAGCCCTCTGGACACCTTGAGTAGTAATCTGAGAATGCATAGGATGCGTTTTCCATCACCCAAATGCAAATTGTTGCTACGTAGCTGGTCTTCGTTGGCGCCGTCTAACAGCAGGGAGTAAAATGGCTGAATGAGATAACCTTGGGAAGTGTGATCAACCTTCATGCCTCAGTGGTCGACGAAATCTCCGCAAGGATACAAAAAACACTCACTTGGCTTTCGCCAGTTTATACCATTTATGCAGCCGTCATGATATCCAGGTGCCTATTAAAGGCCAAGTGTACTGTGATGCAATTTGCCTTTCTCCTACATGACTGCCAGCCACGACCAGATACAGTAGAGCACATGAGAAGGCTTCAGGTGATCGATCACCGTTGCATTTGTAGCGTGTATTGTCTAGCAGACCACCGTCAGTAACGTAGAAGTCTCGTATAAAGTCTCAGGCTGAAAGGAAAAGTTATCCAATGAGGCTGTATACCTTTATTGACCAAGATGCCTGAGTTATGTGCAACGCATCCATAGTCACTATCAGCAAAGTTAACACTGAGGAGATCTGGTGTGACATTAAGTCTTCTGTTGAAACAGTGGTAAAGACAATTGTTAACTTACACCCGAAGATTAACAAACATCATCGGATTTCCACGACGTCATCCAAACTGATTGATGTGAGAAGACTGCTTCCAGTTGACTATCTCTGACCACGATGAACAACCAAAACAACTTAAACTTAAGTTGCCCAAAAGTCTTCACATCGATAACGAGGAGTGGTGGGTAGCGAAAGAGAGAGAGATGGAGAAGACATCAACGTTTGGTAACACTTGGCAACTGTTTAGGCTTGTTACGGACATTGGCAAGGAAGAGACGATGGTGAATGAAACCATCACCGAAAGGATGGGACTCTAATAACCTCTCAGGACAGACGGCTAGAACGTTGGGCAGAACACTGTGAAGCACACTTCAAATGGTCCTCAGTAACGCTTCAGTTGGCTAACGTCCAGCCTGAACCTGAATGGGACGCAAGTGTCGGTCCTCCAACTCTCCTTGAAGTTGAGAAAGCTGTATCGAACCTGAAACGATACAAATCAGAAGGACATAAGAGTTTGCCACCCGATGTTTTCATAGACGGGGTAGGAATTGACGATAAGTGTAACAGAGGTACTAGGTAGTGTATGGGAATCAGAGGTAGTCCTGTCAGACTGGTCTACTTCATTGGTTATCCCAGTTTATAAGAAGGAGGGGGGATCTCATGACAACTACAAAGGAATTAGCCTGACTAATATTGTGTCGAAGATCCTAGGGTCGATAGTTATGCGACACTTAACTGGAGTTCGAGGACACCAAACTTGAGAAAACCAGGCAGGTTTTAGATCTCGTCAAGGATGCATCGCTCAGATTTTCACCTCCCGACAGATTCTGGAACACAGGCAGATCTACCGGCAGCCGACACTTCCCATATTTCTTGACCTGAAGGCGCGAGGTGTTTTGGTAGCGTCTAACTGAAGATAGTACTGAGCAAATACATCATGCTTATCAAAGCTCTCTTCTATTTGAATTCATGCGACCGTGTCAGCGCTTATGGAGAGTCGTCAAGTGAGTTGACAACAACTAGTGGTGCCCGCCCAGCAGGGATGTCCACTGTCACCGTTCTTATTCAACTTCGCCACAGACGTACTCATGGGCATAACCATAGGTACGTCTGACTTCACAGGGATTGACCTACTCCTTGGAGATCATCTAGTTGACTTGGAATATGAAGACGATATTCTCCTACTAAGTGAAGACGCTAGCGAAATGCAGGATCTTGTGAACGCCTTGAGCGGAAATCTGTGTATATTTGGCATGCGTTTCACACTTTTGAAATGTAAGATGATGCTCCAGGGCTGGTGTGCAACGACTGCCAGCCTAATGACAGGGAGTGAAGTGGTGGAATGTGTCGACCACTTTACTTACTTGGGGGAGTTGCATCAACCCGAACGGGCTGGTTGCTGACGAAATCCCAGCTCGGATACAGAAGGGCCGTTTGGTATTTGCCAACTTGCATCACCTGTGGCATCGGGAAGATATCCGGTTATCTAACAAAAGACGGGTGTACTGGGCTGCAGTCCGTTCTGTCCTGTTGTACGGCTGCGACACGAACGTTAAAAATAGGAGACATGAAACAGTTACAGGTTTTTGACCATAGGTGTTTTCGTGGCATTGCTCGCGTTTGATGGAATCACTTTGTGAAGAATTTCGAGATCAGGTGAAAGGTACTAGGGAAGACATGCTAGTCAACTGACGAGGTTGTGAACCTTAGTCGACTGAGATGGCTTGGACATGCGTGGACTGTGCATGCTGAGCTATCGCCTACCTCGACGTACCATGCCAGGGGAAGTTGGATTAGGTTGGAAGAGGGTTCAGGGTGGCCAGACCAATGCATAGCACCTGTCCATGGAGTCCCTAACTGTTGGCTTGTGCCATGTGCCTAGTTGGGGTCTCCGGGACGACAGGAATCAGTGGTTGTGAACTGACATCTGGTAACATGGCCGAAAATCGGTGAAAGTGGTGCAGATGTGTTCACTGCTTCACATCTAAAGCTTGAATATCTGCCGCAACCGTTATCTTTAGATTGCTTATTCTCTCATACTACTTTATCTACTTCAATATCAATCTTTTTTTTACCCACCTGTTTTTTGTGTACTTCTGTGAAGTATGGCAACTTGAGCTGATGTATTCCTGCCTGCACTGTCGCACAATCTTAACTGAAGTATCTAAAGTCTGTGGAAAGGCTAGAGGCGGCCACAGTAAAACATTGGATTACTCTATGAATCCTTTGAATACTGATCTCAGTTATGCAGGGAAGTGAAGACTTCATTAATTGCCATGATCAACCACCTAGACAGAACTGAAGAAACTGCGACTGAGTCCTCATCCAGTTAACACTCGTTAACTGAATTCGCTTTTGAAAACCAGCTTTAAGCGATCATGGAAACAGACAGTTGGATCCTGCTAGTTCGTTTCGCTTACGGTTTGTAACAAGCTTGAGTTCGATAGTTGACAAACACAAAGTGTGATATTCCCTAGAATTAAATTCAAAAAATGCAACATTTCCGTTAACAATACATCCGCGCGACCTGCAGTGACCAGCACAAGAATGCACTAAATGTCAACCAACAATTAACGTTTTACAAGTAGAAAAGATAAACACGCTGTCTAATGGTTGATGAATAAGGATGTAAATATTCATGTTTAGGTTACACACCTAAAATCTCGGAAAAGTCAGGAATAAATGATATCTATAGATAAGTGGATTGCGTAATGTACACATTAGCCATGCGGTGTGGTAAAGAATTCTAATGTATGTCATATTAGTGGCCTTTGGAAATTGCTGTGCGCAGATAATTCAACTGAATGAAAGTAAGGTATTTCGCTTGCTCCTACTAAGGACTAGGAACTATATCATATAAACTACCAAATTGTTTGCAGAAACGCACCTGTCACCTTCATCGAAAACGACATACTCAATAGATTTGAGAGACAAATTCATTTCCATTATGATGTGTAAGAAACGTCCAGGTGTGGCAATAATACTAAAACCAATCATATGATTTCGAAAACCTACATATCAGGAGAATGATGCAAAGCTGAAAACTGTTCTTCCATTCTAAAAACCCAGTTAAAATATAAACATACCTTACTTGTCACCACCGAGCACTATTGTGGCCTTCAAAGATGTGAAACGACCAAGCTATTTCATTACAATACACAAAAAGCTGAACTACCTCTCTTGTGAAATCTAAAGTTTGAATAGCCAATTCCCTGGTTGGACTCATGATAAGCGCACGAGGGCCAGCAGCTGAATGGCATGGTAACTTCTCAAAGAGTGGCACGAGAAAAGCTGCTGTCTTTCCACTTCCTGTCCGCGCCATAGCAACGACATCCCGACCAGACAGTATCAGTGGTATAGTCTGAGATAGAGATATTTAAAAGGACCGGTTACCTTTCTCTGAATTGGTGTTGGCAGTTTGTAACCTTTTTTCATAATACCTTTGAAAGTTGCTGCACTAAGACCCATGGATTGAAATCCACCAGACTTTTTCTTCTTGCGATTTGCTTTCGTAACAAGTTGTCTAGCTTCCACAGTGTCGAAATCATCATCTGTCTCACTGTGTTCCATTTTCTTGAGTATGCAGAGAATTCAGTAGCTAGGAAATGACGTTGTGAATAGCCCCAACCTTGAAATAGAATGACGCCAGAAACTAACACATGCTTGTCAAGGTCGGAAACAGTGTTTTAGTATGTCAAGCCTTTGGACCAACTAATATAAAGCATTATCCTCTGAAAGCAAGTATTTCTTTTCGTGGACAGTGATTTAATTCAGATTCTCACATAGCTGATTTCTAAACTTATACTTTCGCTCGTCTCTCAGCTTTTGGATTTTTCCACAATGAAAAACTCCCACTTGCAATACTCAATCTAAAAACATCGAACGTTTGCAGCACTTCTGTCCATCCACGCACCTCACCCCTGCGCATTCGTCAGCTCACTCCTCAACAGTTGAAAATTGGCATTATTATTCCTTTGAACCAACCGGTCTACCTCCCGTCAGTGGTTCTTGGGCGTTTCAACTGCCAAACTGCCTTAGCTCTCGGTTCTCCTCGGAGGTCATTCCCCAGGAAATATCTTTCCTGGTTATACATACGCATCTGGAGCTTACGGTTAAACTCGTTGGTCAAGAGCAGAGGATCAAGTGACAAGTGTCTGAAGGTGAGCCAACATAAATTATCTTCCCTTTTCTATTCTGTCCTTTTGCTGCATTCAGTCTTCAACCCTCTTATTGTTGTTAACTACTTGTTTTCCCAAGAAGTTTATATCATAGCGACATGTCTGCCCAAAACGCTAGGTCTGAAGCTTTGACACGGATAACGCGGTCGTGCACAACAACGGCCAGTAACACCCTAAACAACACACTAGTCTGTACTAGAAGACAAACAGAGGTAGGGCAGAACATCGAACTTCTGAAGAAGTGGCCAACCCATGTTTCTAGAATTCCAGTAGCCATCAGACAGGTGACACAGAGAAGCACTAGCCCGTCACAAACTAGTCCTATCTTGAGCAAGGATCATACCATGCCTGAAATAGAAGACGACGTAAAAGGCTTCAGAACAAGGCAGCCACAAGCAGTTCGCCACAATCCGTAGCACCTTATTCATGGAAGGAAGGCTGTATTACGACACCCGATGGCTGCAGTGTTTGCACCAAAGTTGTTTCGGTAGTCGATGAGGCATTTGCATGCAACCTGTGTCAACGATGGGTGCATTGCCACTGCGATACCAAAGTCCCCCGACAATACTATAAGCTGATGAAGAGACAACCATGCAAGTGGTTCTGGTACATCTGTCCAGAGTGCAGGAAAATGCCCGCACTCCGCACAGAAAGCCTGAAGGAGATGCTCTCCGCCACGCAAAAGCTACCAGCATCCTCGAATAAGTAGGGTTAACACCAAAGGATAACACAGAGAGACCTGGAAACAGACCTAGAGCTCCAGCTGTGGGCACGCCATCTCGCGTGGGGACCATATTAGGTCAAGTCTCCATACCCCCACCCGGCCCCAGGGGACGTCAAGCGCATGGCCAAAGACATCGACCGCCGAAGCCTCTACGAAACCCATTCCGAACACCCCACACACCGTGACTGAGAAACAACCAGTGGAATTACTCAAACCCATTGGAAGTCGGGCGTGCCACCCACAACGAACCCAGGTCACAGGAGGACCAACTCGATCATTTTGTTCAACGTCGATGTATCGACAGACTCATTGTTGGTCGAGAGGGAACAATTTGACAGCCGAATGTGGACCGACTACTGTCAGATGCTGGGACTCCCTCCCCTCCCTGCAACTTTGTGTCGCCTTTCTCGAGGAAGCCATGCACCCCGAGATAAGCCACCCCCTTTACGTGTGTCCCTAAATACCGCCAAAGAGGCTGAAGACACACTCCTCCTCTCGCGACAACCGGACGTTGTTAATGCCTGTAAAATTCGGGCCAGGCCTGACAAGCCATGGTCAGTAAGAGAGGAGGAGAGAAAGTCAGCGGTTGGAAATCCCAACAGAAACAACACTATAGTTGTACATGGGATTCCAGAATTGCCAAGTGACAGCTCGGTCAAAGATCGGTACTTTCACGACGTCCAACAATGGCAATGGCTCTCAACCAAAGTTGGTCTCAACAGTATACCGGCCAACAGCGTCAGTAGACTGCCAAGGCCAGCGCACCTGAAGACCATACCCAATCCCAGACTACTTGCCGTCCAGTTCGACTCATATGCCTCCCTCACAGACGTTCTGCACGCATGGTATAATGCGAAAGATCGCATGGGTGGCTCAATACGTATATGTGAAAGTAAGCCTAGACCCACAAGGCAAGAGGAGAGACGGCAACCACCAAGACCTCTGGAGTCAGTGGTCGTCACACAGGCGCTGACCAGTGAGTTAGATACATCAAGTAAAGAAGCCACCACTGCTACAGCCCCCACCCAAGTTAAGAACAAAACACAAAAAAACGGAACAATGCCAGTCCTATGAGGACTGGCGAGGCTAAATTCAACCACGTAAGCGCTCATCCCGCGAAAATACACATCCAGACCTCCCCTCTCATCAGGTACACTCTAATATGTATGTACAGCAACGTTAGGGGGCTAATAGGGAAGGTAGCAAAAATGAGGACGCTGCGTGAACATCAGCACTCCGACATCATATTCATCACCGAATCCTGGCTCTCATCGGACATCTCCGACGAAGAGATGCGTGTTGCTGGCATGGAACTCTTCCGCAGGGACAGGGAACATAGAGCAGGAGGGGGAGTGGCTATCTACGCAAACTCCTGTTTAAAGGCAAGGATGGTTAGCGATACGGCCTTAACCCAGCTCCCAGAGTCTCTATGGTGCTACTTCACTCTCTTCTTTATTCTCTCTTCATTCCTTTACCACTACCTTACTATTCTCTTCCAGGTACCTACACAGACAGGAGTCATGGCAGTTCTCTAAACTTCCCAGCAACCCGTAGCTCCCTAATCACTCTACAAATTACAACCTACTAACCCACAAAACATCCACCTCACCGAAGCTAAAAGCAAGAAAGCAGAGGGATTTCCTCGTCCACTGCAGGAGTAAACCGAACAACTGGAACCAAGCCCTAAGAACTAGACGCGAGAGATCAAAAACTACTAGTTTTCTACGCTCGCACTATCAATATTGGATATTGGATATTGGAATTCACTGCAAGGTGGCCGTGTGAATGGAGGTAGTATATGTCTCCAGAATGCCAGAAAATGAAGTGCAGCCCTACAGACTTACCACACCTAAGGTCACTAAATGCCACGAGATCCCAGGATCTACCCACAGAGGCTGGCCAAGCCTCACAGAAACTCAGGGTAAAACGGACTCTTTCACCTTCTTTGGCCTCCTCACACCAACAAACTCACTGTCATAAAGGAGATAGCAGGCAGACGGAAGGAAAGGCGTGACTGCCTCAAAATATTGGCAGTAGAACCAGTACAGTTAAGCCAACAACCTGGAAGAGTCAGTCACTTCCATGAAACGGCCCGACTTGGTGTTTGCACTACGACTTCAACCAAAAGCCTAAAATTCCTGAAAAATAGAGCTGATCTAGATAAACCACTGACCATCAGAAAAGAACCGGGACGATTCACCCTTAGTTATCCACACAAACTTGACACCATTGGGGTGTACATGAAGTACTTAACTGATGGAAAAATTCGCAGACTTTTAAAGCTACCTCCGCGATGTCGATCTGTGGGTTTGACTTGCGTCAAAAATAGAACCATCAGGTTGAACATCGGTGACGCAAGTAGAGCGTCAAAAGCGCATCACCATGCATCATTTTTGCGGGTTTTTGTTTTCATTCCCAGGCGTTATTCAGGCAGACCTTCCCAGTGCGATACAATGAGGAAAGTTGGATATCGCGTGCCATACAATGCTGTGAAAATCATCGGAGGTCAGCTACAGAAGAAGATAGAGCAAAAGCATTCCAAGAGAACCATCTGGTGGACTTACCCTAGCAAGCATCCCTATAGACACCGGTTCCGTTAGATCTGTCTAGCTGGAACTGGCAACAAATATGGAAAGCGATAATATGATAATCTCTTCCTTAATCACTGTACCGCACCAAGTCTGAAATATCAAACCTTGGTATGTTTGTGCAGTCATGTAGAAGGACTCAGAAGCAAAACATTGTGGCCAAAAATGGAGTACTCTGACCCACTTGTAGAGATAATTGTGGCCGCCAGGATTTGGCTCTCATCAGATGTCACAAGCAAGTAGATGTTCGTAGCTAACATAATCTTATTTGTAAAGAATGGGCAGTTCGAAGATGACGGCTCGGTAGCATTCTTTATTAGAATTCACGTAAAAGCAGAAGAGGCTAGAGATATCTGCCTACTATTTGTCAGAACCCCGTGGCTCTACTTCCCACTAGCAGCACAAAACACTTTCTAGAGGCCTTATACAGGTCTCCCGAGAGTTCGGCGGAGTATAAAGAGCCAACGGTCACCGTGACTTTTGCACGCTGCCCCGGTCGCCTGAAACTACTTAGTCTCCACCGGTGACTTCAACACGTTGGCATTTCATTCAGGCCAAATCTTGATACCAGAGGTTTCGGATTTTTTTCTGAGAACGCGACTGATAGAAAAAGTCGGAGAGAACACAACTTTGGGACCACATGAACGAGAATAGCAGCTTCATTACATCTGAGCACAAAATGGTCTTTCATCAGATGGTAGCGGTGTTTGAAATGCTTCGGAAAAAAACCAAACACCAGTAAGATTTCCCCTGACCACAGCAACGAATTGTCAGTAGTTGAGCCTGAAGCGATGCATCGCTACCGAAAAGTAAACTGACAGATGATGAAGGATAAAGTCCTGAATGCCCAGGGCCAATAATATGGCACTCTGCTTCGACTAAGGAAAGCTGGATACATATATGGACGTTGTATCAGGTGCCACCTAAAAAATCGTACCAGATGCAAGTGGGCGGCCGCATTTGAAAAATCCCTGGGTAACTCTTGTAAGAAGGAAGTATGCGGAAGAAAGTAAGATAGACTGACTGGCGGTGAGTTCGTAACTTGCGTTACATTTACACGTGATCTGTTATACTATAACTTTAACGTTACCAGTAGTTCGATATAGTACTTTTGAACACCAAAAACGTTACGTTGTTCCTACACAACATGGTATTCTGTATCGGTAATCTCCGCGGTTTGGTAGATCTGT